TTTTAGGGGTCCATGGATTATTAGGCCTTTTTTCATTAATCTGCTCCAAATTGGTCTTGAAATGATCCCTGCTTTCCACTGCAGCTGGCTCAGGAGCTGAATTATCCCTGACATTTGCTCCTTTCAGCAGGATCTTAGCAAGAGAGTAACAGGATTAAGTAGTTTAGGTTGTGAAGACTCATGCATTGCTCAGTCTTAAAAATGACAGAACTGCCTGATACCATTGTTTTTCTCAGCTTTTTGTAATTTTCATTTCGTATTTAAAAAGTGTGATATACAGAACTTAATGATTCTGATTATATCACTAACTCGACTGAAAATGTGTTTTCATGTATGAAAATTCCTCTTTAGTTTGCATACACTTTGACAGCAAGTGATTTAATCTGTACTCTTGGAAACTATAAAGACTTACTTTTATTTAGGTTTTAGAGTACTAATCTAGTTGAAGATTTTTCTTTACATCATCCGTCTGAACGACTTCAATGAACATAAATCACAAGCTGAGGGTTGATATTTTCTAAAGACTTTTTTAAACTCATTTAATTCAATTAGTTTGAATGCAACTTTATGACAATAATCTTAAAAGATAAATTAAAATTTAAACTTTTAAATTTTATTGCTTTCAGTACAGAAACTAAGGTTTTGATATTTTCTGTGCCAGTAACTGAAAGTAATTGCTTTTTCCTTGTAGTGAATGTTCATGAAGGCAAAAACAGATAATAAGCAGGCTAGATACAGCTAATACATCACCCAGTTGAAGTGGTCATGTCCTAGGAAGAATATTTAAAACTTACACAGGTTTGGAATGCCGTAATTCAGAGGAGCCTGAAAAAGCTCTATATTTATTTATTAAGAAGAAATAAGTAAACTGCAACCTAATTCTAAGAGCAGCCTTAGGAGTAAACCTTTATTACTTGAGAGCTCTTAATATGCAGAAGGGCACTGGCAAAACTGAAATCACTGGTATTCAATTCTACTGTTTTAGCTGTTTCTTTGTGCTAAAAATATTAAATAATCAATAATTACAATTGTTGGAGCAATTCTTCTAGAATAAAGAATCATTTCAGTGGATTGTGAAGCAGGTTAGCAAGCCTGGTGGCAGAGCGGTATGAATGGCTTTTGATGAGGAGGCAGAAGGGTTATACAGTACGGAAAATACACATACTTGGACAACTGCATGATATTGGCTGTTGACTTTTCAAATGACACATGTAAAAGGCCCATGGCACTGACCTGAGCATTGTGACTTATTTTTCCCAGTGTACCAAGGGTTTATAAATTGTATTTTTTCAAAAGCAAAGATTTAACAAGTGTCTGAGTGCTTGCTGACCCTCTAGTTCTTACCACTACAGTGGTAGTGAAGCCACTACCACTGGCTGAATGCTTTGGGCTGCGTAAAAAAACGTCATAACTTTTCTTGACTTCTGCGCTGGTGGATAAAATAAGAGCCTTGTAGGCTGCATTCTAACCACCTGTGAGGAAAAACATTTGTTTCATTTGGGTTTTCCAGGAGGCATTGAGAAATGTGCTTGTAGAGTAGCACCCCACTAAAACAGAGAATAAATCAATAAAAAAGTTTGCAGTTTTGTGTTTTTCCAGCACAGAGCAAGAATTGGAAAAAAAAACAAACCCAAAAACATAAAAGACAGAAAGAATTTATGTTAGGTGGACACTGGAAGCTGTCAAACAATAATGATAATGAATATATCCACTGAGAAGGAAGAAAGAAAACAATTAGGATAGCAACTCACAAAAAAATTTTACATTATGTATGTCAATCTCTTGTCTTCAGAGATGAAATAGTTATAGACTAAGAGCTCAAAACAGAAGTTTCTTTACATGTGGAAACTCAAGGGAAGCCCAACCTACTAAAATAAGTAAACTCTGCTTCTCTAGTTTCATATATTTCCTTCATATTTCAAGAGAAATAATCTTTGCTTCCATAAGGCTTTGGGTCATGTCTGGTTCATTCTCAACAAAGCTGCCTTGCCAAAATCTTAGTCACCCTGCTTCTTCAAGAACACAACACTGCAATTACTCCCTCACTCGCCAGTATTATGAAATAGCCACCTGCCTTCTGATTACTTTTCCACTGTCCCAGTGGGCACAGAGTCAAGTTCTGAGGATGCAATACCCTGCTCTGTAGGGTTGCAGACAGGCACTGCAGCTAACATCATGGGCATTGTTTCTGGACACACACCAGCAGCAGTCCAAGGTAAGTCAAATGTACTCAAATGATCCCTGTTATGGGTTTGTAGTTACTTATTTTCAGTTCGCAAAATTTCTCTGGGATGCTGATAAACACTACAAGTATTCAAACTTTTATTTCCTGGATAAAAAAATTCAGTATTCCTTGCTACAGTGCCAGGTTTTCTGCACACTTTAGACAAATGTTCTAAAAGAGAACATCGTAATTTAGAAAATTTAAAAAAAGGTGAATAGCTTTCTCATATTAACTGGTAAATGCCATTTTTATAAGCATCAACTTGCTGCCTCTTGAACATTCAGGGAAGTGTTCAGCTGTGTCTTTTTACACAACAGGTACATAGCAGGAGGAGACAGTATAATCTGATAATGTAAACAGCAATGCCAACAAAGACTCCTGGAGTTGCTCCCCTGAGTCTTCCATGTGACACACTTCTATTTGCTAAATAATCTATGATTATGGTTCTTACAGACATGAACAACTTCTTAAAACATAAATATTTCCCTTCTTTTTTTTTTAAAAAAAAAAATTAGTTATCCTGTCAGATCTTATTTTCATCTTCCTGTGCCACAAAAAAAGGAGAAGTATCTTGAATGTAAATGCTTTTCCTCTCCCAGTCAACATCTCCTTCCTCTTCTTGCTGGGCATGAAATTACAACCAGTTAAGAAAGTTAAAGCCCTTGTCAAACCTGTTTCTTCACTTAACTGTTTCAAGTAACTAAGCCAGGAAACACAGCTGGCCTTTATTACACAGCTGTGGCATCACAGGAACACTGAGAGAAAATGGAAATTTCTTTCCAGTGCTTGCCAGCTCTGTCCTTCTGCAACACAGGGTGCTGCATCTCGTGGCTGCATCTTCTGCACAAAGACATCTTCAACTGAGAAGCTGGGAAACTCAGTCTGACAGCATCCACCTTGGCTCCAGGAAAAGCTGGTGGCAATACAGAAGTGTGCTTACCTCAGACTTTGGAATGAACTGGTAATTTCAGGTTTAGCCTGAAAGGAGCATTCTTTTCCTTTGACTGTTTCATCACAGCACTCTCCATGCAACAGTGAAAAGCAGCAGCCTGAGCAGCACACAGAGGCATTTTTGACAGTGTTAAGTTTTTATTTCAAAAACACCTCTACTGTGACTTCCCAGAAAACAAAGCCTAACTCTTCTCACTGGAAATTACTTTTTTCAAAACTAGAAGTCTTAAAACCTGAACAGGAGCTAAAACAAATTCGAACTCTATAAGATTTGAACACTGTTGATTTGTTTTTTATGAATAATTCCTTCATGAGCATTTTGTCCCGTGAGTCTCTGCTAATCATTAACTCTTTCCACGGCTTTGCAAATGAATGAAATCACTGGTCTCAACTTTTGTCAAAATGTCACCAGCAAAACTGTGGCTGATGCCAACTGTCATGATCAGTCCTTTGGCAATCTTACTGCATTTATTATTAATGACTTTCTGAGAGCCACACAAACCCAGAACACTCCCCACATCTCAAAACCCCTCTTGCTCCCTTCCTGGCAACCAGCTGCTGGTAGACCTGCTCCAAAACACCTAAACACCTGGCTGTAGGAAATCTGCTTTCACATTTCATCCAAATTCAGGCCCATTACAGAAGGCACAAGTTTGCTGCTCTTTGCCTTCTGGGATGCAGTTTCAGTCTCCCTGGCTATTCCTTGGAGTAGAAACAAAACAGAAGAGCGGCCAGAATCCCCAATACAAGGAAAAATTTTGTTTTAGCATTACTGGTGATTAGGCAGCATATTTGTAGCAGCCCTTTGATCCAAGCTGGAAGCAGCTGAGTGTGTGTTAAGGCATCAGTGTGAGATGACACAAATAAAACACAACTCTTTTGAATGTCAGTCTGTCACCTGAACCATTAAGCTGTCACTCCACCTTTCTGTACCTGTTTTGCATGATCAGTGCTTAAAACCTGGAAGTCCTTGTTATACAAGTGACAATTTCTTGCAGAACTTTAATTTTACCCCTTTTCCTCAGTTTTTTGACCAAGTTTTTCTTGTTTAGATTTACTGGAGAAGAATCTTGGACTATACAAGACATCCAAGTAATGCCTGTGGACGTGGAAGAATTACTCCAAAAAGCTCTTATTCCAAATATGCATCTCAAATTGCACTTCCTGAAGAAACCTTCCAAAATCAGCAATGTTACAGCATACACACAGTATTAAATAGATAGATAGATAGATGATAGACAGATAGATAGAGTTCCCACTTCCCACACACTGTGACTTTTATTGTGCACTGACTAAAGGCTTAATATACTTAATAAATCCAGTATGTATGTATTTCATTAAAGATTGAGATGTATTTACATTAATAATTCCATTTTCATTAATACAGCTGTCCAGAGAGAACCATGGGTTTTACATGGCAGCCTGGGCTTTCCAAGCTCTATTCAAACCCTCTAGATGCTGTAGTATTCCCTCCTGAAACAAGGCGGGGGTGGGGGGGGGAAGGGGAATAGAGAAACAAAAAACCTTAAATTATCCAGCAAGTAATGAAGAGACAGTTACTAGCAGGGGGAGCTGCTACCTGAAATAGCAGAAAGCAGACCTGTGCATTTGCAGAAACACAATTCTATAAGAAAGTGTTAAAAAAGGAACTGTTTGGGCAATGAATCCCTAGGATCACCCCAGTCCAATGTGTTCATTTACACCCTCTACTCTCTTTATTAGGTAATCTGAGAATAAGGTATGAGCTAAAAGTAACACAAATAAAATGTACGATCCTTCATGTTCCATTATAAACAAACCAAGTGTAGGCACAATATTTGCTTTGTAGATTATATAAAATGTTTATTAGGAAGTAAAGTGCTCATTCTTGATCATTCTAGAAGACTTCCATAATTAAGAGCTTCCTAATGAGACCAAACATTGTACATTACTATGCAAAAAACTGTACCTTTGTAAAAAGTGACAAATGATATTATAATCTAAACTGAAAAATGCATCAATAAAATGTTTGTAACGTTTATGAAGTGGCACTGCACTTACTGCAAGGCCCACTGCCAAAGCACATGGGTACCCCATGGAAACTTACTGCACTTCAAGATGAAGTTTGTTATCAAGTAACGACATGTTACAGAAACACACCCCAAAAAATACAGCTATTAATGCAAACATTTTCATAATAAACATATACTACAAATGAAAGGTGAATTGAGTGACTGAATTTACATTTTGAAAGACACATTTTGGATATGAATATAAAGACAAGGCTCTGTATATTTAAACTGCTTTGGTATAGTATTTTCTGTTTTCCTTGCACACCAGATGGCCAAGTGTACAGCTGGTGTTTCTCTTTGGTTTGTTTGTTTACAGTCAGAAATGCAGTTCAACACTGAAAAGCTTTCCTCAGAAAGGTTTCTGGGGTGTAAAACCCTTCATTCAAGGCAAGTGAGAGCTTAATCTGGATGCTCTCTTCCCACACAAATGCCCTACCCACTGTGCTGTGCACTGTTTTCACAAGTTCATGAGGACTCTCGTGAAAGGGTATGAGTTTCTTCCCAATACAGGACCAAATAACCCACACAAGAACTACAACTTGTGCTCCTACATAATTCTGTTCCCGAGACACAGCTACTATGAAATTCCACGACTGAATTTCCTCCTCTTCCAGCTTACATTAATTAGGTTTCTGTGCGTATGGTTTCTCATAAAATTAAAAATGGAAAGGCGTGAATTCTATTTAGTTTTAGCAAGTTCCCTGGTTAGAGAAAAGGCATTCTGAGACACTGCACATCCAGGCAATGCCATTGCAAGGATATATGGAACATGGAAGCTTTGCCTAAGCAGCACTACCACAAGAATGGAGAGATACCAACTGCTTGTTGAAACAGAAGGCACCAACATAACACATGCCACTTATACTTTGTTAAACTGGCCTTTTTTCCTCTACATAAGCTACTGATAGCTGAGATGTGGTTGATTATGTAGCTTTCCATTATCTTTTTCACCAGCTCTCAGTCTTTAAACACCAGAACACTGCCATCTTCAGGAAAAAAGCACAACTGACGGCCTCCCACCTAAGCCAGCATTCCACATATGGAGACATATTCCTAGGCAAAATGCAAACACTGCCTCGGTGCTCTCTATAGGAAACCAACAGAATTTCAACGTTGCATGTCCTTTCAAAAATAAAGCTTCTATGACATAAAGCAGAGGGAATTAAATACTAAAAATCAGTGATTATAATACAAACATCTTCTCAAAGGAATCCTGTGTTGTACCTCCTGTGTAGCAGAAGTCTGTGTAGAAATCATTTCACAATGTAGCTAATAATTTCACAAGCAGTTTAGTTAAATGTAAATACAGACCACATTGTTGAGATGTGATTAGAACTTCACACAGCAGAAGATCAGATTTTCCCAACTGTCAGAAACTTCTCTGCCGCTTTCCCTGTCACACCCAAGGAAAACTCAGTGGTTTTCAATTTTGTGTGCTTTTAAATAATGTATTTTCTGCAAAGTAGCTGTACTTATCTAAGAACCTCTGGAATGTTTATCCTAGAAACACTTAAATCATTAAAAGACAGCACTAAAGAATGGGTACTTTGCAACTTAGCTTAAAATTATTATGTTAGTTGGGTGTGAGGAGGCAGTTATCAAATATTTCTTGCTAAATGCTACTTATAATGCATTCAGTTTCTACCACAGAATGATGCAATTTACAGTTGTACAGACTAATTGCACTTTCTTCTGCTTAAAGAAATGGACCTCTCAAAACAGGAAAAAATTTTTTTTAAATTAAGTAAAATACTAATATACCAAGAATAACTCAGAAAGACAAGTAGAAACTCATATTTTAAAAAAAGTCTGTTTTACCTGTCAGCTGTTATAACGAATAAGACAAACTGATGCCATATTATTTTAAAATTTGCTTTTAAAAGCCTTTAAAAATTGTACTTTCCAAGAGGAAGCAGAAAATTAATAGCCTCTTAGTATGCCAGCCACTGCACATTATTTTGTCTGAAGCTTGCTGCCCTTGTGCAAGTGTTCCCAATAATATTTTATGGAATCAGATTTCTGTCCTGGTAGATTTTGTCTCACTTGCTATCCATTCAGTTTCCAACATTTTTGTTTCCAAGGGTGACACTCTCACTGCTGGCATTACACGTGGCTTACACAGGCCTGAAAATGATTTATGGAGTGAAAGATGAAAGATGAAACCAGTGAAAGATGTCCTCAGGAGTCTGATCAGAACAATCCCCTCACGCTGGGAAATTTGCTGGCTGAATACTGAAACGTGGAATCACCTACAAAGCCCAAGCTACACATGGATGTTGTTCCCCCCATTTCCTGCTCCTGCATCAACACCATCTGACTGGGAAGAGGATGGCCGGGAGCTCCTGGAGCGTGGTTGGCCGCTCAGTCCCAGGGGCGTTCCCAGCCGATGGCTCATTTGGGAGGCCGTGTCGTCTGACTCCCAGCGCTCCAGCTCCTCTCGCACCAGCCGCTCCATCTGCTCCCTGTGGATTTCACTGGTCCGGCCCAGTCTTTCATCCTAAACACATTAAAAGACACAAGCTGGAAGTGCAGCTTCCAAACTGAAGTCCAGGCAAAACCCTATACAACCACAAGAAATTCTTATACTGCTTGAGTACTTCCATAGGCTAATGGGAAAACAGCTCCCACAGCAAACTGTTTTATTTCCAGAGATGAAATTAAATGCCCAGGTTGCCACCCAGGAAAGCACAACTTGTATACCACCTGACAGATTTTAGCATCTACAGAAGTGACACACCTCCCACTGGCCACTTCCAAAGGGCCCTCAAGGAAAGAGAGAGTGAAAGGGGAAGCAGCAGAAGTCAGGTAACCCTGGTGACAGAAGTGACCTCTCCCACCTGCCACACACAGTCCCAGAAGCAACAAAGGAGAATAAGAGCAGACTGGGCTGGATCCCATAGACTCTAACAGACTAGTCCACAAAAAATATTATATTAATCCCAACAGACACCAAGGAATGGTGCAACTACTGAACACCACTGCTTTCCAGATCACAGGTTTAAATGGTGACACGGCTGCCATAAGACATGTTGTCATATCTGAATCTTGAATTATGTTCCCAAAATTTCATGTTTTAAATTTCATGTTTTCCTAACACCTAACTGAAACCACGCACTTACTGTCAAAGCACCCACCTCCTCTTTATCACCACTCCTTCAATCCTGCCAAGCCAGGCAGTAGGAAGAACTGCCAACAGAAAGGAAGACATCCAGGTTGTGACCAGACCACAGAGAGTGAGTTTCTTACCTCTGTCACTCCATCTAACAGCCTTCCCAACACATCTCTCCTTTTTAGCTTGGCCCTCTCCATGGCTTCCAGCTTCACGATAACGGCATCGATCTTGGAGACGATACTGCCAATGGAATGCTCCATGCGATCCACCCGCCTCATGAGTCTGAGGGCAACAAGTGGGAGCTTCAGTGACTCGGACATTGCCCAGTCAGCACCGTTCTAGCATGTCAACACACAGAGCAGACAAGGATGAGACATCACTGTTATCCAAGCACACCTCTGACTCCCCACAGACCAGTCCTACTATCTAGGAGGGACGAGGTATACCAGAGCAAGAAAGTAAAACAGGGGCAAGAAAGTAAAACATGGGGAAAAAAAGTATATCTTGCACTCTGCTTTCACTGCTCCTAGGACATCATCATGAAAATTTGTTGGTTGCAGTTATATAATTCTTTATTCAGCTAGTGTTGCTGTAATTAATTAATATGGAGATCTATCACTTTGGACAAAATATACACTCATGAGTAACTTACTCTTATTAAAAACAACCATTAAAGCTCTCACTGTACTTAAAATAACTAAATGGTTTACTAATTTAAAAAACAGAAAAATCTTTTCTGTCATTATTGTAACATGACCCTTTTCTCTGACTTTTCAATTACAAGGTTTTAAGTTTAAGGACAGGGTTTTTGTTGCTGGGGTTTTTTTGTTTATTCTGATTTTCTATATTCTAACCAGCTCCCACAAGGCTTTCTAAGGCACTTCCAGTTCAGATATTATTTGAAAGCTACTAAAAGGAGTGACTTATGCGCAAAAAATCCTAACACTTGCTTTTAAGAATAATTTGATTAATATGAAGGAGAGAATACTATATAACCCAAAGAAAAAAACCCACAATGAAATAAGAAGAAAACAACCAAAACCCAACATGCAGATTTGTCCCTCTCAGAAGGATAAACTTACACTTGGAACTCTTCATAGGAAACCCCACTAGAGCTGCTGCCCCTCCTCCTGGAGCTGTGCCCGCTGTCTTCATCCTCATCCTCCTCAGAGTCGTCCAAGCTCCGGGGGAAGCTGCGGCTGCTCAGGGGACGTGGTAGAGAGCTCCTATCCAGGTCCAGATCCTCCTTTGTGAAACCACAAGCCAGAGAGAGAGAGAGTGAGAGAGATGTAAAAAACTTTCACCTGTACACGGGGGATGGTGGTGTCAAGGTCAAAGAGCTCCTGTCCTCTATCAGTTCCCCTGTGCCTTTTTAGAGTTCTGCTCAGACAGCCAGGAATGACAGCAGAAGTGAAGGGGGACAAGAGGATTTTTCTGAGGCAGGAAACCAGCACAGGTAGCAGACTGGCAGACAGTGCTGGACGCATCCCACTCCTAGTGCTGAGCTCACCCTCTCTTTCTCCAGGTCATCTCTCATCTGCTGATGTTCATGCTCTGTCAATTCCTGGTCCCCATCCTGATCATATTTGGTAAATATTGCTTCAATCTCCGCATCTGTGTGCCCCTTCCTGAAAAGGCAGTAAAAGCAGTTCCTTCACTTTCCATTTTTCAGATGCTGAAAGAACTCTGTATTAGAAAACATTTCACTTCAAATAAACTTTCATCCTCAAGACAAAGGCATCCCAGTGTTGCCTATAGATTCATAATACTGATAAAAACCCATCAGTCCCTATCTTTCATTAGTTAAAGGACCAATCTTCCCTACATTGAACATTTCTCCTTCACAACTCCCTTCTACATCTCCTTGATTTGTACCCTTGCCTTGGACTCCTGACAAACTCCTGCAGTGGTCTGACAGAAACATTACCATTTTCTCAAAGACCTCTGCTTCCTCAGAGATTTCTGTGTTTTTCTCCTCAAAACACAGAAATTTAAGGAGGTTGGGCCCCAGAGCTCCAAAAACCTTTCTCTGGTATGCGATACCAACACCAGCTATAATGCTGAGAAAAACAATCTGGTGTGTGTCTTTATCCACATTAGTGTGCTTATGCTAGAGGAAAATCACATCAAAAAGTTAACATCACAAGTCCCTGGGTGTACTATTCAAGGTAAGAAGTAACAACTCCCTCACCCTTTGAGATCCTGCCGGAGTTCATCAAAATTGAGTTTTCCTCCACCTTGTCTCAGGCTTTCTGAAATGTCATCAACAGTAGTTTTCTTCAACTTAAGTTTGATCATGGCTTTGTTGTAGCCCTAAAAGAGAAAGTAAAATTTGTTGTTTCTCACGAAATGAAATTTCTAATAACTTTATTGATTAGAGAAATCAGCTACTGTGCAATCTCATTCAGTGTGTTCAGTGTGAGCATTCAAGGCAAAGTCTCAGATGACTGAAATACATTGAGATGGGAAGTTTTCACTCATTTAATCTACAGTCAGCTCAGATTAATTTATTTTAACTGAGATGTGTACTCTGACCAGCTGCTGCCAGCTTTACTTTGTACAGCTTATATAGTATTTTATGAAATAAGTTCAGATGTGACGAATAAGATGTCAAAAAACCAAAGTATTACATTTACCTTCCTGATAAGGTCAGACAATTCCATTTCTGCCTTCTGTTGTGCCATATCTGATTTGACTTCAGAGTAGGTATCATTGATAATGGCCAAAAACATGTTCTGTTCATAAGAGAAAACAAAAATGTTGACATTTCAAATTTCAACAGGGCTGAGCCCTACTACTCCTATGACCTTGTTGTGCAGACCTTAAGATAGATTTTGTTTCAAAAGGCCAGAAGAAAATGGTGATGTGTTTAAAATGAAACTAACATCCAGAGCTTGATATTGAAATACGATGTGCTGCAGCACAACAAATTTTACTCAACATCATTGGTTATTAACATAACTGGAGAATTACTTTCCAGAGAGGGCTCACAGCTACACACAGCAGCGGCAGTAAACCCTGCAAGGCAAAACTTACACAGGTAACAGATGTGAATTAATTCAGGCAAAACAGCTGGCAACAAAAATGCCAGAGGAATCAAGTTAACTACTCATCCTGTAATAACCAGCACAAACCAAAGGTTCTTATCTAGTTACAGCTCTGCTTGCATTTCAAACTAAAGATAAAATCACAAAGCTTAAAATCAGGCACTTGGCATTTATGGCACCAACTGTGGAAAGAGCTCTTTCTTGTTCAGAAAAAGGAGAAAATATTGGTCTCACTAACTCTGTGCCAAGAATGTAACTTAATCAAACCATGCTGTCATCACTGAAAGGCCCCTGCTAGACATGGAGTAAACATGACTGAATTACAAATTGCACATTCAAGAAGAGTTACCCAGTTTACTGGCATGTTCAGTGTAGAAAGGCAGTTTCCTCATGGACTTAAAAAACATATTTTGGAACAATCTTTCAGTGTCGTATCTTTATGCATTCATGCCCAACACCAGAGAAGTAAGAGGTAACTTGACAATTCACTGCTGTGCCATTTTCTGCTGCTATTTTGCGCAGCTTTAGGAGTTGGTGCTTTCTGCCCATCTTCCCTAACTTAATTTCCTGGTCTCAAGGGACTTGCATCAACATTTCATTCAGGCAAAATGATATTAAAAAATACACAAATTACAGTGAGTATTTTGGATAACCTGCTCTGACTTCACTTTCCAGTGCTTTTCTGTTGCCCCTTAGAAAAAAGATACTTCTTTCCCTTGCTGGACACTAGGCTGTTCCTCTGGAATGCTTTAGGTGCTACAAAGCAAATAGGAAACCTGCTTTGTGCAAACCTTTGGCACATAGTGACACGTTATTTTCCCATTTAATCCTGGTCCATCTCACCAACTACTTTAATTCCTCACAGAACACTTAAAATTCTCTGCATCCTTACTAGTGAACATCCAAGATTAAGTATTTTCCCACAAATAAAATCTGAATGCCATTCTTCCTCATCTCAAATAGCAACAAAAAGATGCACTAACTATGAGGGTTATTAAATAACACTAAAAATTATGATGATGCAGGACTGCTGAAGAACCATGCTCTTGCAGCAGGCAAAGCTGTGTGTGGCATGCACGACAAGGCTGCTGTAAACACAGCCAGCCACACATTAGAGCACTTTATGAACCAAGAGACTGCATGGAACAGTATAGCTACTTTTCACCAAAAGAGACAGCCTTGCTGTATCTGCCAACCAGGCACTATTCAGATTTTAGAAATAAAATTATTAATAACAATAAATTTAAAAACCACAATGTGGAGCACTACATGAGAATGACAAAAAACCATACTATGCAAATCAATTTTAAATGAGGAAAAACAGGAAAGAGTGTAGTGACCAGTCATGGTAGCAGTCAGGCCCCTCCATGGGCCATATGCTCATCATTATCAGAAAATGCCCCAGAAGTCACAGGAGGAATCAAAGGACAAGTGATGCAAAAACAGCCACTGACCCACCCCACATAAACAAAGTGTACATACCAAAAGAATGAAGAACATAAAGAACACAAATGTAGTGAAATAAACAGGTCCCAAAATTCGATTAGCTTCTTCAACCTCTGCGAAGTTGAAGTCTCCCAAAATGATGCGGAACTGAGTAAATCTTAAAAAACAAAACACATCCAGGAGCTGAAGAAAATATTACTGGAGCTGTGCGAGGATTCTCAAACTATTTTATTCTAGCAGTGAGACTGATAGGCTGCAAAGAGATCTGCACTTTATCAGGAACTGCAAAAACAATTCATCAAGCACATCTGTAGGCATAACCCAACTCACAGTCAGGCACCACACACAGAACAAAACCATGGGGGTTATTTCTCCTTTTGGTCACAACAGCAAGCAGAGCAAACTAACAGTTACTACTGTGAAGCTCTGAGACCCACTCCCATCTTCCTCATACACATACAACCCCAACTCTCTCCCTCTAAGCTGGAAGAAGCTTGGCAATCATCAGCATATTTCCAGTTCCTTCACTTCTCTGCAAGAAACTCCTTGCAACATTGCCCCAGTGTAAGGGAGCAGGGGAAATCAGTGACTGACCAACCTGTTAATTTCCTTAGTTACAATCAGGTTATGTTGTGCCAAATCAACCAAGGAAAAATTGATTAGCAATCTTATATTAAGTCCTCTCTCTCTCCTGGATTCCAGATACTTATAAATTTTGTGGTTGGCTAAGATGGACTCTGACACAAGCAACTATGAACGCTGTTAGGAACACAGCCTTATTATGTATCCAATATTTCAGTAAGCATTTAATCACTGAACATGGAGTAATTGCTTTGTCTAGGAATGTAACCAACCCCTGTAAAAATCATAACACACCAACTCAGCCCTGCCATTTTTGGCTTATTGCTCTGACAGCAATAACACAGAGATAAAAATGTTATAAAAATGTGTTTGCTACCAGGTTATATCAACAGCTGTGTGCCTGCAGCTTATCTGCTTAGATGGGCGTCACAGGATTTGCCTCTGATAAAGTAACTGATGCACCTAAATCTTCTTGCCTTTTTTATACCTGCACTTACATGCAATCCTGGAAAGTGCTGAAGTCATCACTTTGAGTGCCGAAGACAAGATAGGCCAACTGAGCATATGCCAAGAAAATAATAAAAAACATAATGGCAAAGCCAATGACATCCTTGACACAGCGAGACATCGTGGTGGATAACTGACTCATCGTTCTGTTGAAGTTAACAAATTTGAAAAGCTGTTAAAAGAAAAAAGAAAAGAATAGAAAAAAGCTGACAAGAGAAGGAAGACAATTTCTGAACATAATTGCTCTCCACTCTTTTACATGAGATGTCTTACTTCACACGGCTTTGGAGACAAAGCAGTACCCAGTAAGAATTTCTGACTTATTAATTGAGGAATAATAAAAACATTTCTTAACATGTCTGCTGATAAAACACAAGCACTGACTACATCTTCTAGACCTAAACAAGAGCTGACTACACCTGTGGCAAATTACAGCTTAGCTTTTCATCTGCAAGAAGTTATCACTGTACTGACTTTCTGACAGTATTCTTTGAGAGAAACATGAGTAAACCTCAAATAATGTGTCTCATGACTCAGAATACTGCTTACATTCTAATGTTAGAATAAAGATGTGTGTCTTGAATTACCTTAATCCAGACAAAAAACACAGTGACTGCAGCAATGTTGTTAAACTGCATTTGCCAATATGCTAAGGGTTCGAAATTGGGGAATGAGTTTTGATCTTCCAGCAGCTTCTTCAGGAGCATATCGACAGTTGATGTCCTATAGATGCTAATTCCTATAGCTACCACAGATAGCTGAGGACAAAAGAAACACACAAATTTACAAAAAGTAATTAGGGTTTTAAAACAACTTGTTTGAGATATTTATGCCCGATAAAGTTAAGATGTGCAGAACTTCATTCATTTCACAGTAAAACCATTATAGTTCAGGACTACAGACAAATAGTCTGGGAGTAAGAAGGTTTAGAAGTAATTTCCTTGCCACTGTTTGTGAAGAACAAGATGACAGTGGCACCTAGCAGGACCACAGAAGTGATGTCACAGACAAGAAAATGTAAGGAAGGGAATATGACAACTCAAACAAAGGTGAAAAAGAACACAGAGCAGAAAGACAGCAGTAACAAAAAAGGTACTACAGTTTCTCCAGAGCACAGACTGAGCAGAATTGCCCAGAAAAAGCAACAGCAGAGAAGCTGCAGTTTTACCACAGAGGTTTCTTGCTTTGACTTCTGCAAATGTGCTGTTCTTTACTGTAAGTGAACACTTCACCACATACAGAGAGTCATAAGTACATAATCCTACATTTAAACAATGCCCCTCAGGCAAGGCATAAACATAGAATTCTGACCTCTTGTGTGAACTGAATTTTACACTCACACTTGAATACTCTTCACTGACTGCAACAGCAAAGCATTTTATCCCTGCCCAACCATTAAGTGCAAAAAACAGCACACAGTTCATGTAAACATCCTCCTAAGCAGCCCTTACAAAGCACTGTGATGCAAGTACGATTTCCCTGGAATACAAATACTGGCTTCAAGACTTGAAACCTTTGATTAATCCAAGGCTGAAGATACAAAACGAGTATGGGACTGGAACTGTTTCAGCATTTCTGGCTTTGTACACGGTTGGTAAGCACAGCTTGGTCTGAGTCCAGAAAGAATTATATTATGCAGCTTTACATCCAAAGCTCATATTTTCTGGTGCACTAAGATGACTGATGTGCAACACTGTTCATTTAACCTAGACAGCTGCTAGCACTCTACAATTCTGAGGCCCTTCTTCAAACTTGGTATTAGCTAGTGAGTATTTAATACCAAGACAAATCTCCTTGTGGTTCTTTCTAAACATATTCAAATCCCAGTCCCATTCCTTGAAATGCAAATCACTTCTTTAAAGCAGATGATTTTCTTATTTGAAAGCCAATGCAATAGTCTGTACCAGATATGTAGAAGGGAGGGCAAGTTTGCCACCTCCAATAAAAGCTAAGTCTGTATAAACAAAAACTGAAAATGCATGATGGACAAATACTCTAACTTTGCACCAGGAGGAAAGCACTGAAGACAGAACAACCAACTTTGTGAAACATACCAACATTGCAACACAGACTAAAATGGTCATATTCAGACTGAGTAGCCTAATAGTCTGGAAGTGTTCTTCCTAATGATGGTCCTGTACCTTAAAACCACAACAGGAACACTGAGTAATTAATGTCTCCCACAAAGTGCACTTTAGAAAGCAATTTTAGCCTGATTACAAAGGTTACTTACCACAATGATAAGGATATCAAGGCAATTCCAAACACTTCTGAAGTAGCGCAGTCTATGTATGCGAATTTCTAAGACCTCTTCCACCATATAATACAGAATAAAAAGACAGAAGGACATTTCACAGGCTGCCAGGAAAAAATCAAAAGTGGAGATGTAATGAATCAGCCTCACAGGCTGAAAGTGCCAAGATGTAACCAGGCCTCCAGTAGCTGGAAACTCTACTAGCAACCTGCATTTAAAAAAAGGCAAAGAAAAAAAAGAATTTAATTTAACAAGAACTGATGAAAAGCGCTACTAAAAGACACATGGGTTTATCTGTATAATTATCTAAATAATAGAAACAAACCCACATAGGATTCCGAGTTTTCACACCACACAAAAGTTGTAAATGTGACCACACTCAATTTTGACTAAAACTCAAAGCCTTTCAGGAACAGTGTGGAAACAGAGACAGAAAGATTTGTTTTCATCTCTGCCTGTTTCATACTGCCTAAACCAAAGGCTGATGCTCTATACCCATGTATTTACTTAAATATGCCAACTCTTTAGAAAGGTCTCCTGCAAACTCCACCCAAGGCACTGTGGCACCAGGAAAGCCAGGACAGACTCCATGAGGAGTCTCACTTCTTTGACAGGGTGGCATGGCACTTCAGTTGTCTATCCCTTTTACACAAAACATACCCACCTATGTCCCCAAAACAACACCAATCACAAGAAAACCCCAAGTCTACAACCCACACCGTGCAACTGAACGCTGTCGTGGTTCTGTTCATACCTGATCACGCAGAACAGGTTGATGTTTGCATTGTACACAGAGAAATCAATGAAGGCTGCTCTGGTCCCTCTGTCCAGCCACAGGTTCTTCTTCAGGCTTGCAATCTGCAGAGCAGTCACTTCTCTGGTCCTCGAGAGGTCTTGGTAATAACCAGCCCCACTGTATGTGGCAATCAAGCCCCAGTGGCTGCTGCCATTCAAATCCTTCTCATTGGTGTATGTCCAGCTAGTTCAGAAGTGAAAGAGAGCACATTGGTGTTTCCACCTTTAACTTGCAATTAATAAAACAGATATCAACAAAAACTGACCAAAAACCATGCATTAGCTAGCTATTAAATATGCTTTAATTCATGGGGTCCTTGCTACAAAGTTTTGATGTAACCCCTGAGAAAGAAGTTACAAAGTTCCTTTGACTAACACCATAAAATTAAGATAGAAAAATGGGTCACATATAAAAGCATATAAAAAATGAGTGTGTATCTACAGGAATGCTACATACGCAGTTCCATTCCGGAGTCCAAAAGGAGCAGTATCTTCATTAGCTACAGAATAGACATCGTAGCAGTCTTTGATTTCCTCCTTTAAATCTTCAGGTATGGAGCAGGAACCATTTCTGACTTTCAGCTGCCGAATGCGGGGCACTCCTAGGAGCAGGTTCTCGTAATAAATGAAGCTTTTGTTTTCTGCCATGGTTTTGTTGTTGTACCACATCTCCCAGTAAAGACCATCCAGCAAAGGGCCTTCTGTGAACTGGGGAGGATGACAGAACTTCAGTTTGCATGTTGCCAGCACTGTTTTTGTAGATCTTCATTCCACAGAAGTGTTAGAATTGCAGTTAACAATTTCTCTGACAAAAGACTTTACTATTACCTGCCCTCCAAAGACATTTCACAAATTTGCCCTGCCCTGCCCCACCAACATTATCTGAGCTCTAAATTTTCACATATTAAAGACCTATTTCGTTCATAGCCTTGACATTGTGCACATAGATTTTCATGCACAAGCCTGACCACGTTAGGAAATAAGATTCTGAAGGTTAAATTTATGGTTCATGACAGTACCAGTGAACCACAGCAACAGAGATAAAAAAACTTGGGTTTAGATTACCTTCCAGAAGTCATCCATTGTGGACAAAGTTTTGAAATCAGTTTTCTCCGTTTTTGACACGGGTGTTTCCAGGAAGAGCTGTGACATAACCCTTGTATAATAGTACATACTGGAACTCACCGTCCCATAGGTCACTGCAGAAGGTTTGGTAAAAAGAGAGATGAAGGAATGAAAAAAAGAGAAAAAAACCCCCTGAAAACAACATCAACAAAAAAAACCCCCGCACCAAATAAAACAAAACAAAACAAACAAACAAACCAAAAAAACCCAACAAAACACAACAAAAAAAAAACCAAACCAAAAAAAAACCCACCCAACAAAACAAAAAAAAAAAACAAACCAAAAAAACCCAACAAAACCCAACAAAAAAAAAACCAACCCAAAAAAAACCCCACCCAACAAAACAAAAAAAAAAAACAAACCAAAAAAACCCAACAAAACCCAACAAAAAAAAAACCAACCCAAAAAAAACCCCACCCAACAAAACAAAACAAAAAACCCAAAAAAATCCCCAACAAACAAAAAAACCTCCCAAAAAACAAACCTTTATTTGTTTTGAATACATCAAGTTGCATTTGTGGAACTATTAAACAGCAAAACAAAACCCACACCAAGCAGCATTTATCTGTCAATTGTGATTAAAATACAAAAAGCAGTGAAGGCAGACTGATCAATCAATTTATAATAATTATAATAATAATTTATAATTTATAATACTCTTTTCCACACCTCATTCTATTATTAATGCTTCTACCAAAGTAAACCTCAAGGAAAACAAAGGCACAATTCAGCAGCCTGAAGAGAGGCAGGCAGTGCCTTTCTGGTTGGCTTGGGCTCTCCAAGGCATGTAGGGAGAACTGGCAGAGATGGCACAAAGACCTCAGGACAACTATGCTGGGCTTGAGAAGATAATGACAGTCAACCAGGATACAGCAGGGCACTGGGAATGACATGGATTAGGCAATGAACGTCCAGTACAGCTGTGCAGTGCTTTTAAGAGAAACTCCTCACAGAAAATAAAGGACTATATTAGTCCTTTTCCTCACACAGGGCCAAAGGTATGGCTGAGGGCCACAGAGCACAAATTATGTATAAAACTAAGATGGGTTGAGGAAATAGTCTCTGGCAGGGGTAGTTATGGGGAATAAAACAGACAGTACAATGGAACTGATAAAGGAAGCTGATATCCTAGGCCTGATCAAGCAGAAACCTTAGGAGAGACAAACACAGATAAATTCTCCCTGGGCAAGAAGAGAGCACGAGACATGTAAAACTTTTGTGATAAGATAATGTTACCAGGTGACGTGATGTCATGAAGAATGTGTAATCAATGGGAAATTGTTACCAAAAACAGAACCTTATATAAGTGCCATAGCAGCAAAACCATATATAAATGCCTTATATTCTCAATAAAATTGGCTCTTGATGCAAGCTCAGATGTCCCCGTCTCTCCATCACCAATAGGTATTATTACCATGTGTAAATACCTGAACCACTCTATGGCTAAAACTCAGAGGAGTCTGAAAAATTAGACCTACACTGAACAATCACTGTCAGTTTTGGTAATTGTATAAAATTTATAAATTGTTTGCTTCCCTTAACAACCAGAGAGCAAGAACTATTTTTAATAGAGTTCTGCTGTGCACATGGAATGTATCATGTGACTGTGCAATACCTGGATTCTCTCTAAACATGTAGTCTGCAAAAAACAAGACAACAATAAATGTTCATCATTTAGCCTGCACTAGGAAGCACTCTCCTAGGGCATGCCAAGCCACAGACCATACTGACCTCCAGTTATTGCTTATGTGAAAAACAAAAAGGATACTTAAAAAATACTAATAAGTTAGCAATATCTCCAGATATTTAACACACTACATTTTTCCTTTATTCTGTTAGCAAAAATCTTTTTCTGTAGCAAAACAGTCAACAGCCTGTTAAGAGTCCAACTTCTCCTGCTGCAACAAATTTCACTTTAAGGCAGACCCCCTCACTGCAACATTTCTCCTGGTGCTACAGTGTGCCAGCCACAAGCACCCTTGCACTGCTTTGTTCATAAACCTGCTCTAAGCATTCTTAAATTACTCAGGAAGGAAAAAAACCCATGATATTTAATATATAAACATGCCTACAGTACAACATCAAAACAGCTGTGTCAATAGTACAAAATGTGGGCTTTTTAGTAATTCTGTTACGTTCAAGCAGAGCAGACTTGCTCTCAGAGACAGTCTACCAGAGTAATTTTGCCTTTACTTTTTCACTCTGAGATTCCCTCTCACAAAAATTTAAAACATCATTTTGTTGTATTACAACTGATCATAAATGGTAACTCAAGAGTCACCAGCATTTCAGGCATTTAGGGCAGAATGCTCACACTAAAAACTGGAGACTTGAAACATAACTGGCTTTCTAAAGATATACTAACTTAGTGTACACATTTTGTTGGTATTCTTCATAGCAAACAAATAAAACAGACATTTTGTAACTCCACAAGAAGTTCTTTCTTGCATTGTAAACTGAATATTACTATGTTCTGTATTCTTTCCTGTTATGATACTTCATATGTTATCAAGACAAGAAATGGCACAAACCACAGAAGTCTCCAGCTGTGAACTGTATATAACCTTGCTGATGAACTTCAAATGTGGTGATTCAATTATTTGTCCTGGATGACTAACTCCTCCTCTTCATTTACCATTTCTGCTCAGTGATTTCAAAAAGTGTAGAAGTATCATGCCATGTAGTACTACAATAAAAAAATGCTCTCTAAAAACAAAGAACAAGTCTATTATCATCTTGTCTGAAGACTCTAAACTTGTTGAGGTGCAGAAAGTTGTAGTATTTTCAGTCTCAAGCAACAGCCCATCAGCAGAAAAAAGAGAAATATTTTATTCCAAGTATTTGCCTACATATTACTTCTTCTCCCACAAACAACCTTCTTTCTGGAATCACAACAAGCAGGTAGTACAGAACTGGATGCACTGGTGCTGAGTAGTACTTACAGACACACAGGACCACGAGGAAAACCATGTACGTGATCAGTTCCCGTAATATACTTTTCAAATATTGCTCTCTGCTGGTGTTGCTCTCTTCCATGAGTCTTGTCCCCCACAGACCTTAAAAGGAGAAAGATATATATATATATATAAAAAATGATGTGCACAGATGTCTGGTACAGATACACAAGTGACATAGTAAGTGGAGTTGAAAGCTTAACCTTTGTTGAAAGCTTAACCTTAACCTTGAAAGCTTAACCATTGCTACAGGTTCGTCCATGGATTTTAAGTTTAAGCAAGAGGAGCTTATTTGTAGAGAGAATGAGGCCTCAGGCAGTATCAAATATCAATGAGATACCGTAATAATTTAGGAACAGCTCAGCAGAGCTCTAACACCATCTGTGGAAGATTTGCAGAAGTGCTGTCACTTAGAACTACATGGTATAAAAACAGATACAAGATACAGAGACATGCACAGACAGCCATCCGTCAAGAAATGGAAATGCAGTGTTTTGATATGTTTTCTTTTAAACATGTAAATCATTGTTGAATGAATGAAAATGCACATTCATTATTGAGCCTTTAGGAGCAGTCTTAATTTTCTACATGAAAGGAGGATACTTGAGTCAAACATTTTTAAAACACCATATCATAACCTTCCCCTCTCACACAGGCAAGACACACAGCAGGGATGTTGGTGAGCATTTCTGCATAGTTTCTTTCCCTGCACAACAAAGCGTTATCAATAAAACATCAGTAGCAGCCTAAATGAGAACTGCTGTACAGTCTAACTCTCAGCTTGAGCAGCTGCATCAGCTGAACTGTTTCTCCCTGGTCCTCATTTCATATAATGCTTGACATTCCCAAAAAGACAAGGAGAGAAGCTATTGAACATTGGTGATCTCTTCCAACTGAAGAATGAAGCATGAGTTCAGTCAATCTGCAACCACTGCTGTAAGGCTAAGACAATGGGCAAAGCTGTCTGCTGCAGACCTTTGTTTGCTAACAGAGATGGGAATAAAAGGAAGCTCTTCCCTCTACCTGCATAAATGAGAAAAAAAAAATGTATTAGATGTTTCTTGAAGCCTTTCAGCTACCACATTTTTAAGTTGTGACATAAACCTGGAAACTTCTCTTTCATGGGCACAGCAAGCACTAAGAGTTTCAGCATTAATCTCTGTTCACGTGGCTTAATTGGTAATTTAGGGGGTTCCCTAGGGTCAGCCCCAGAGCTGACAGAGAGCTTTTTCAAAGCTGTTCTTTAAGGCCAAGTTTGAAAATGTGCAGACTGCAACTTTACTACACCGAATGCCAAATCCTCCCCATTATGTCATTCTTGAAGACAAAACACAAATACAAGAACATTTACTGAGTCAATAGTAACAACTCAAAAAATTCAGCCTCTAGCACAGCACTATGTTGCACTAGCAACCTTCATAATAAAGGCAGGAAGACATTATGGAAGAGAGGAAGAAAAGGCTGGAAAAGCCAGTGAGCTAAGCTGGCGAGTAAGCCAAGTCCTGGCTGTCAGCACATTACTCACCAATAAGAAATGTGGTGAACAGAAGCAGAAAGTTTCCAAACTCAAACTCTGTCATATTAGACTATCATTAGGAGTTAAGTCAGCAAAGAACAGAAAGTTACAGCAAAGAAAAAATCCAACTAAACAGCACCAGGGATCACACAATGATTTTTGTGCTGAATGAACAATGAATTTTCCCATCAGCTAGCTTGGAGCTTTCATTAGCTGTTACATTTTTGCAATATAAAGATATTATTCCCCTTTTTCCATTATTAGAATATTGATTTAGATGCATCAAACATAGAGATAAGCAGTGCTGGATTTGACATCTGCTGCAAGCAACAAAACTGTTTTGTTTTCTTACATCCACTTGCTATTCATCAACTCTTTGACTGAATCTGTGTATTTTTATCAAATAAATCTACAACTAACTCATACTCATTCTGTATGTAGCAGTCTTCATGAAAGTATCAATTAACAAGTGACTGGGAAGGGTATCTTGTACCTTTATATAACAATAACTAAGAAAACCTTTCAAGAAATGCCCAACACACTTTAGTGATGACACACATGAGGGCATGGCAGCACTGGGTGACCAAGTACAGCTCTACAAGGCAGGATTACCTTTCCAGGCTGGCTCTAGAAACACACCTTGTTTTTACCCATCAAAACTTCTGGTAACTTCCTCCTTAACGGAGTAGAATAGTCAGTCCTTTTTCTCCTCTTGGCATCTGGGATATTTGCTGAAGAGATCTGTAAAACTAGAGGAACTAAAGGCACTTCACAAATATTCCTGTTAGAATCTGAACAGAATCCACAGAAAGAAGAATCTCAACTGATAGTCAGTACTATTCACTCAGTAACTCCTGTTACAGCAATTACCAAAATCCCAATACTTTAAATCCTCTCTGCATTTTTCTTTCATAACTCACAGCAAGTAAAGTGCAATCTGTCATTGAACATTCCTCAATACTAAGTGGAACCTTTTTTGCCATGGTGACACTATCACTTGTGATATCCAAAGGACTGTTCCCTCTTGTTGAATTCTATCTAGTGAGATGGAATTCCATTAAATAACTTTCCTGTAGTCCTTGAAATAAAACTGAATGCACCATTTCCAGTCTTCAAAGATACTTATGGATATCCATGGAATGTCAAAAGAACTGTGGAGTATTCTTTCCAATAGTAAACCCGCAGTTATTCTTCAAGTACCCTATAATAATGTCAGGCTTGCAATCAGCTCCTTCAAACAGTGCAGCACAGGGATCACATTCTTCAGATAGGTTGTTACCTATTCCACAGAAGTACAGTGCCCTGCAGCACCTCCACAGCACCCAAGTCTCACCCAGACATTTACTGTGCTCAGGAATTTATGGCAACATTCTAAACAAAGAGCCAGAAAAGGATCTATTGACTACAGTAACTTTAGCTACACTTGCCTATAGAAGGTGGTCAGGAAACAACAGAAACTGTTTTGAGTACTACTGCACAAATCACAGCAGAGATGGAACAGGAGCGACACCTGCCAGGCCACCACCAGGTCACTCACATTTGCCTCATGTACAAACACTGCTGCTTTTTACCACAGTTAAAAATATACACAGGAGATTCCTTCTTGGCAACAACTAAGACAAAGGGAGCACCTGAAGTATAAAAATTTTGTAGAAGTTTTTATAAAAGGACTTAACTTTCTCCATATGAAGCAGCTCTTTTCCTAGGCAATTACATATCTCAGCAATGGACTAAAACAAACACACCACTGGAGACTCCAAACAGCACAGTGCCAATTCATGCACAACACAATTACTGGTAGTTTTTCCTGGTTATTCTGGTTTCTTGTTATGAAGTGACTTGGGTCATTGAACATGGTCCCAATAAAATCTGCTAAAAAGAAAGCATGCTCTATTCCATAATCTCTGCAAGTCTGACTGGCATACCACTAAGGTATTGCAATGTTCAAGAGGGATTTCTTTTGGTGCAATACAGCCAAAGCTAGAGAAATCATTACAGCAAACCATATTTGAATGCACATGAAAATCAGAGAAGGTGGAAATCCTTGCTTAAAGTCAAGCTTGTTTTGACAGTTCCACTGATGCTGTAGCAGCCAGTAACAGTACTATCTACTATCTTCAGAAAATCCACATTTCAGAAGAAGAATCTTTATTTTCTAAATATGGTTTGCTTTTTCTGCAGCTTTATAACTATAAAGATTTTACATTTAAACCAATGCTCTGTTTAAAATCCTTGTAGTTTGAAGCTGACATTTTAAGCCTCTCTGAAAAGAAAGGAGGGGTTTTCAAGGTTGTGCTCCCACAACCTTAAATCCAAAGGACTCTCCATCCAGCATTCTCTCTGCTGTTGTCAAATCAACCCTGTACAAGGCTGCTCAGCAGAGAGTTACTGCAGTAAGCTTTGAACAACACCTCAAATGTTCACTTGATATGTGCTCAGTTTTGCTTCCAGCTCTGTCTCTGGTCACCATCTGTGTGACAACAGGAAGCACTTGACCGTAAAGGGCAGCACCAAGGCACTGCACAATACTGCAGAAAAAAAAAAAAAAGTGATTCAAGCACCCTCCCAGAAACCCACTCAAAGTATCCCATCCCATCCTAACCACCTCTTCTATGAATGGGGTATTGCTGAAAAAGAAGCACAAGCATTCTGCTCCAACCTTCCAAAGACCTGGTGCTGGGGCAGAAAGCTGAGGTTGGAAAAGACCTCTGGAGATCATCACATCCAACCTATGACCCAACATCACCACGTCAATTTGACCATGGCACCGAGCACCACATCTAGTCTTTCCTTAAACACCTCCAGAGACAGTGGCTCCACCACCTCCCCGGGCAGTCCATTCCAACGCCACCTTTTCTGTAAAGAAATTCATCCTAATGTCCAACCTGAACTTCCCCTACGCGGGAGTGTCTTACACGGAAAGCAGCCAGGATTAAGACCTGGGAGGCAGAGAGGTGGGAAAAGGAAGGAGCGAGACGTGGGTGAATCTGCGTGTGCTGGGGGACATAACCGGCACGGGGATCGGAAGACAGATGTGCACGAAGAGATGGGGACACAGAGACACAGGCAAGGATGGATGGATAAGGACACGGGCAGAGGGGAAGGAGGACTACAGGCAACTGCAGAGGAGAGACTACAAACAACTCTACAGAGCGCAGGAAGCGGCACTCGCGCCTGAGGAGGCGAGTCGGGGTGCGGGCTGCGTGGCCGGGGCTCTCTCACCTCGCAGTCTCCGCGCCAGGCACTTGGCCCAGGCCGCTCTGCGGGGCGCGGCTCCGTCGGGCGGCCCCGGGAGGCGGCCCGGCCCCTCGGCCCCGCCG